TCATAAGGGACTTATTAAAGTTGAACTGTTTACATTCTTACATGGAATTACATGGAGTTACATATTTGTAACTCATGAAACCTTTCTCATTATTAGAATAGTTGGAAGTCATATATACATAGACAGACATCACAGAAGGGAATTATATCTAAAAGTTAAATTAAGGGGTGAGAGAGGAATGTACTGGGAGAAGGAGAAAGGGAGAGGTAGAATGGGGTAAATTATCTCACATAAAAGAGACAAGAAAAAGCTTTTACAGTGGGGGAAAGGGGGGAGGGGAGAGGGAATGAGTGAACCTTACTCTCGTTGGATTTGGCTTAAGAAGGAATAACATACACACTCAGTTGGGCATGGAAATTTAACTTACCCTACAGGAAAATAAGGGAGGAGGGGATAAGGGGGTGTGATAAAAGGGAGATTAGATTGAGGGAGGGGGTAACCAGAAGCAAACAATTTTGAGGAGGGATAGGGTCAAAGGAGAGAATAGAATAAACAGAGTGGGATAAGTTGGAGTAAAATATAGTTAGCTTTTATTGATATGATTATTATGGAAGTGTTTTGCTTGACTACACATGTATAACATATATAGAATTGCTTAACTTCTCATTGAGGGTAGGGGAGAGGGAGGAAAGGAGAGAATTTGGAATTCAAAGTTTTAATAATGAATGTTAAAAAATGTTTTTACATCTAACTGGGAAATAAGGTACCCAGGCATTGGGGTATGTAAATCTATTTTACCCAGAAAAATAGAAGAGAAAGGGGATAAGAAAAGGGTTTGTGGGGTGATAGAAGAGAGGACAGATTCGGGGAAAGAGTAATCAGAATGCATGCTGTCTTGGGATGGGGGGAGGAGAGATATGGGGAGAAAATTTGGAACTTAGAATCTTGTGGAAGTAAATGTTGAAAACGAAAGAAAGAAAGAAAGAAAAAGGGAAAAAAAGAAAGAAAGAAAAGAAAGAAAAGAAAATGCTATCCACATCCAGAGGAAGAACTTTAGAGTCTGAATGTAGTTGAAAGTATATTATTTGCTCTCTTTTTGTTGTTGTTGTTGTTTTGTTTTGTTTCTTATTTTTTGTAGTTCCTCCCAATGGTTGTAATTCTTCTTTACAACATTACTAAAGTGAATATGTGGGTGTTTGTGTGTGTGTGTGTATTTCCTCTGAGAGAAATTGGTACTAATACATCATTGTATTCATGCACTGAAATACCTAGTATCATTTCAGGTTATATCATTAAATAAATGAATGCAAATTATTTCTTTCAATCATTTCTTGACCTGATGACTCATCTTGGCATAGAGATGATTCTGCTCTTTCAAAGGTTATGCCAATAGAGCACAAACTCTGTCAGGTTCTCTTATTATAGAAAGGATAAAACAGGGACCAATCTATATATTATGTATCTACTATTCAAGGACCAGCCTAAGTAACTTCAGAAAAGCACATTTCCAGGTTAAATGCCAGGTAACGATTTTGTTGTATCATTGTTGTAGGCTATAGGAAATTATGAAGATGTTCTACCAAGGTGAACAGAAGTTGCTATTTTTATCAAGAGAATGAGTACTTATACTCAGAAATTCATGTTTCTTTTAAAGTACTAAAATAACAAGATAACAATTTAAGAGTTTACTATCATACAATAAAAGAATGTATACATGTGCATATATCTGTGTTTATATATAAATGTATGCAGATATAGATATATGTAATATGTATTATGTGTCTATATATATGTATATATATAACTGATTTCCTCGGTTTTACTTTATTCACTAAATTCTTACCTTTTTGAATTAAAATTTAAGCTGAAATGTCTAACCTATTCAATACAATTTATTTTTTTCCAAATGAGATCCCAGCAAGATGGTGGAGTAAAAGCAGTGACTTACTTGAGCACTTCCCCAAACGCCTCCAAATAAAAAATGACTCTGAACAAATTCTAGAGCAACAGAACTTACAAAAAGACAAAGTGAAACAAACTTCCAGCACAAGACAACATGGATGGTTGATTGGAAAGGTCTATCATGCCGGGCTGGGAGAGAAACGAAGTTCAGCGTGGGCATGCAGGCAGGGTCTCAGTGAAACTGGAGCAGGTCTCAGGGTATGGAATCATGGGCAGCTGTGGTGGTTTCCAGATTTCTCAACCCACAAACACCAAACACAACTTAGAAGGTCAATAGAAAAGGTCTGTGACCACAATGAGAAAGAAGCTTAGTCCCAGCCCCAGTGTCAGCACAGTCCTGAGGGATGAACAGGGGGACAATAGAGGAGAGGGTAAATTAGGGGAGGGAGTAATCAGAAGCAAACACTTCTGAGGAGGGAGGGACAGGGTCAAAAGAGAGGATAGAATAAATGGGGGGGTGGGATAGGATGAAGGTAGGATAGGGTATAGGATATAGTTAGTTTTTTACAATATGACTACTATGAAAGTGTTTTGCATGACTACACATATATAATCTGTATCGAGTTGCTTGCCTTCTCAATGAAGGTGGGTGGGGAAGGAGTAAGGGAGAAAATTTGGAACTCAAAGTTTTAAAAACAAATGTTAAAACTTGTTCTCACATGCAACTGGGAAATAAGAAATATAGGCAATGGGGTATAGAAATATATCCTGCCGTACAGGAAAATAGAAGAAGAAGGGGAAGGGGAAAAGAGAAGGGGGGAGATAGAAAGGAGGGCAGGTTAGGGGGAGAGGTATTCAGAATGCATGCTGTCTTGTGGTGGGGGAGAGGTGAGATGGGGAGAAAATTGGAACTCAAAATCTTCTGGAAGTGCATGTTGAAAACTAAAAATAAATAAATTAATACTTCAAAAAAATTAAATTATCAAATTCAATCCTAGTATTTTTAAATGAAGTTAATTATTCAGCCTGAGCATAGAGAAATGATAAAAAGTCCCAGAATGTCATCCTTGCCACCCTTCTGCAAAATTTTTGACTCTAGTTAATCAAATTGCTTTCCAAACATATGCCTGTATGTTTCATAGGTGTACCTCTCAGGGCTCTCAACACAACATACAATGTTCATGACAGAGGTCATAGTGCCCTAAATCAAGATTGATCCTGTTACTGTGAGGAGATCATGGCTAAAGGATGGTTCAAGGACCACAAGCTAGGCAGTTTACTACACACAAACATGTAGTTCCCCATTCCTTCAGTCCTATGGATAATCAAAGGAGGTGACTTGGGCAATGGTAGGATGTGTGCTGCAGTTAAGAGCCCAGAAGTAGGAATCTCTGCTCTTATATACAATTGCTGTTGATGTGACCTTCATAGGGATGAAGGGTAAGGGGACCTTTGGAGGCAGTCAATCAATAGATGGCCCAGATTGTGAGAAACACTCTCCCTAGCAACTACAAGAGCATTGTGATTAGGAAACTTTTTTTAACATTTCATATTTGGATTGGATGAAGTTTGGTAAACTTATTATACTTGAGAGATCTTTGTATTCTTTGCATAAATGAAGTTGACAAGGACAAGTGGATACTAACATGTATCAGATACACATGTAGACACAATCAGTGGTCGAACGTGGAGTTGTATTTGTCAGCAAGAGCTTCACCATAGGCCAGTCCTCACAATTACTACACCACAGTAGAAATACCTAGGTAATTAATAATGTTTCCTAGGGCATGGATGCACAAATTTCTTTCAATGTCCTTATTGTTGCTGTGTAAGTTGACTTTAGGTTCATAACCTTGTCCTCCTATGGCCTCACATAACTTTTTTTCCTCTTATGTTCTCTAATGAACATATTATTTTGTGCATTTCAGCATACTCACTAAGCTCTGTTGATTCATCATGGCACAGACTGGATTGTGGGTTCTCAAAACTATGGTAGCCAAGTACAACTCTGGTGGGTCCTATTAACTTGGGAAAAACTCTAAGTCTTTTATAAAAAGCCAACCCTACTCTAATTGAGAGAGGCTTAAATAAACCCCCGATCAACAAGTATTTATTATTTGCCTACATTGTGTCAGGCACTGTGCTAGGCACTGAGATATAAACACAAAAATGAAACCATTCCAGCCCACTGGCCTTATATTTTATTGGAACAGACACATGCATGTATACAAGATTGTACAGGAACTGCAAATCTATTATGTACAACTTGCTGTTCTTTGTAAATATATAATAAAGTTATCATGTAACTTTCTTTTTTTTTCTTTTTCTTCCCCTCCATCACTCCCAAGATGGCTGCCATTAGACACAAATATGTATGTATGTAAATACATACTTACATATATACACACAGAGAGTTACATATAGATAGATAGATAGATAGATAGATAGATAAAACCCTTGAATTGAGTCTTGAAGAGAGCCAGATAATCTAAGAGGAAGAGATGAGGAGGGAGAGGCTTCTATAGCCATGGAAGACAACCAGTGCAAAGACACTGAGATGTCAAATGCTGCCACAAATGAGGAACAAGTTGGTCAGTGCCTCTATAAGTCTCTATATGACATAGGTGTTGGCCTAAGCACCTCTTAGGAACAAACCCTTGTGTAAAAGAAGTATCTAGAATGCTGAAATTATATATCCAGGAAGTAAAATAAGTAAATACGGCATATTCCCCATAGTCAATTGTAAACTCTAGGAGAGAGATATGTCTCATTTAAACTATACATCTTCCTCAGCACCTATTGCTTTGTTTTCTATGTAGAAAACAATCAAACATTTCTTACGCACTTACCATGTGCCAGGTATTGTGCTAAGCAAAGCACTAATCAATAAATATTTGTTGAATCAAATATAGTCCTAAACATAAGGATAATATGGTTGTTGAGTTGTGACCAGAATTTTCTCATCCAATGGCAAGACTTCAGATAAACTCCAAACATAGCTTTGGTAGTCTTCTAATAGCAGGAAAAAATCCATTGATAGACCCAAATTTGAGTATTTCCTGACATACATTCTTTGGCCTTTCTTCTCTATACATGATATTATGTTGCCTGTCTATGCCTTTGATTTACCCCATGCCTGGAATGTACCTCCCTCTCACCTCTACCTCCTAGAATACCTCATTTCCCTCAAAGCTTTAATTCAAATGTAACCTCATCCATGAGGCATATTTCCTGATCCCCTTCCACTGCTATGTCTCTCACCAAAACTATCTTATATTTATTTTACATATATATATATATGTATATATATATATATATAGTATATGCTTACACATGTACATGTTTTCTCCTTTTATTAAATGTAAGCTTCTAACGGAAGGGCACTATTTCATTTATGTCTTTGTTTCCTTGTACTTTGTACAGCTTCTCACATATAGTTGATCCTAAAATAAAAAGTATTTTTTTTGACTAATTGACTCCCCAAATCTTTCTAGCTTATGTTTGATTAGCACAGCCTTCTAGAACTAGGTTATTTTTAATCAGGATGATACATCAGAGTAGGGTCATGAAGGAGAGGCAGAAATGATAAATTAAAAGGAAGAAATATCTCATAATTATCTTTAATCTGACTTTTTCATGAATAAACTATATTTGGTGTGTAAAGACATCAATATCAATGAGGTAAACTATCTCTTTTTACACTTCCAAGTATGCCCTGAATAACCTTAAAGAGGTTATTTGCTAAATGGTATCCTAGTATCCTGAAAGGTTCCATTTATATTTCTTCGGTGAGTCATTTATTCTCTAGTGTCTTTTACTCACTCTGGCTCACCATAGACTAGAAACATAAATAAAAGAAATTGTGTGAAAAGGACAGTGCCAGTAAGACAATGGCTTAGTCAACTCTAGAAAATTCTTTATATATTAAATTGTAAAAGCATTTGAATATATCTGGATTTTTTTAAATCTTGGATGAAAGATCATCATACATTTTATTCCAGGTAAGGTAAATGTAAATATTTGTAGTTTTCCTTCGTAAGGGACATCAGGCAATTTTCAAGATTAAAAAGAAAGAGAGAGAAAAAAAAGATTTAGAATGAGAGGGACTCAAATAAATGATAAAAGTAACTTTCAAATGAAATACTCTCCTACATCCACACAAATTGTTTGTTTTGCATCAAAGATCATATATAGATTATTCCAGAATAAGTCAATTTGAAATCTAGATAACAACCATTTATTTATGTCACCTACCTGCCTTATTTCAGATAGGATCTACAGATAACAGAAAAACAATTGATTTTCCAATATATTTTTCTTTAATCTGTCATATGTGGTTTAATATACTAATGCTGCCTACCTTACCTCTAAAGATTGCTATAAAAACACAATAAAATGCTATAAAATATCCCTTTGCACAATAAGCATTTTATTTTTGTGGCTTCATCCTTTAATCATTTTGGGTATTTTGCCCACAAATTTACATAACCCTTCTCATTCAGTGTGATTTTATAGAAGTAGATAGATGAGATGGGGAGAAGGAATATCTATCCTATCTATCTATGCATACACATGCATATATACACAAATATTATATATTATGCTATAATATATATATATCTTCCATAGAAGATCATTTTAATATATTATTTAATGCATGCTCAAAAATTAAGGCATGGTTAATTGAAAACATAGCAATATAACACTCTTCCCCTACCAGAATTCTCTAGTGCCTCAATGTGACATTCATGTAATCTCACAGTGCTGATAGAGCACATTTTCTTGCAGAAATTACTAATCTGGAAAAGATCATAGGTTTATTGAAACTTTAGAGCTAGAGGGGCCCTCAGAGGCCATCTATGTTGATCCTTTTTTTATGGATGAGGGAAATGAAGCCCTGGGATGTAATCTGATTTGTCCAAGGACATTCTGGTAGTAAACATCACAGGTGGGATTTAAACCCAGGTCAATATTCTTTCTTAGAGTTTCCTTCCCAGGATCCATTGCCATAACAATTTCTACTTTCCAGGTGTTAGATATGAGTTCTCACAATGATGGTTCAAAACTGTTTCTACTGTGCAGTTGCAGTAGATGTAGGGATGAAGTACTGCAAAATTGTGAGGCTATTGCTGGCAACATGCCTTCTCTGTCCATTACCCTATAAAGAAAGTTCAGTGACTGGGGATGCCCATAGGGGCGAATGTGCAGGCTGAACGCTGTGTGTGGCTTGATTGGCTTCTATCAAGGCTTAGGAGGGGGATCTATGATAAGCCCCCATTGAGGCTTGAGGGAATTTAAGGGAGAGTACAAGTTGTGCTGGTCTCAATTGACTCCCTTGAGACAAGGGGTAGTTGCCCCCATTTCATGCCAGCCTTTGTGAGAAGAGTTGTTAGGGAATGCTGTAGGAATTGGAACTCCCATTATCAGCTAACTCCCTTTAAGAATACCAGACTAGAATAAAATAAGCTTATTTAACCCCAATTATGACTCCATTCCTGTCTTCCCATCTGACCAGATCAAAAGTGAACCTGTTAGTAAGAGAGGTGCTAGAAACCCTCCTGTGTCTGCTTCCTAAGAAATGACATGGTTGGTGTGTTTATTTGTCCAACACATGAAATAAGATTAGAGAGTAATACAATGAAGAACACAGGAAAAAGTGGCATTCAAGAAGAAGGGTTAATCTCTTACCTGAGTGTTATTTGTGTGTGTGTGTGTGTGTGTGTGTGTGTGTGTGTGTGTGGGCATACTCCTATATCACTCTCACTTGCCTCCCTCTACTAGTGCTAGCTAATTCTCTCTCTCTCTCTCTCTCTCTCTCTCTCTCTCTCTCTCTCTCTCTCTCTCCCTCTCTCTTTCTGAGATCCTTTTGGCATAAATTGAAAACTGATTTGGGGTTTAGTCCAGATGGATGTATGCTGGGGCCTATTTTATGATTGCCTGTTATTTGTCATACAATCAGTTATGTATGACCTATGTATAAAACTTTTAATATTCCAAAATTGAGGTTAAACAACTTTTCAGAAATTAAATGCCAAATGGGTGATAGTTGATCTGGTGTGCTGGGGACTGGGAGGAAATTTGGTGACTTCTATACTAGAAGTATTTGCCAAAAAATAAAATCCTCCACAGGTTTTATCAATTAGAAGTTTATTTAATTGGTAAATATCTCCTTTCCTTTTAACTTCAAATGCTTTTTGGGAGAGTTAAAGCTATGGTGTTAACTATAATAATAGGGAAGAATTTTCTGTGATCCTAAACTGTGTTGTGATGCTAAACAAAACCTGTGAAACCAGTAGTGTTCTAGAGATGCTATAGTGCTGTAAATCATGGAACACCAGTCTCTGGATAATCAAATGTGTGAAAGAGAAAAAGGTCAGTAGAGAGAGACATGGTAGGCATCAGCAGACTACAACAAATTAACAGTAAGAATTTATGACAAAAACTGGCCTAAGGGATAATATTCAGGAAATAAGCAAGTATGATTAGAAAAGGAACTATGAAATGAAATGGAAAGTGAGGGTTAGAAGATGAATTCCCCAAATTTTGCAACAACATCCATGGCCCATTTTCTAAAATGTACCCTCAGACTAAGTTTGCAGTAGGGAGGGAGAACACCAAATTCTCAAATACCTGGACTCCCTGTAGACTCAAGTGGTACTATTTTTTTCAAGCTTTATTGAAAAATGATGTACATTGTGAAATCTTCATAACATCACTTCCACTTAGTTCCCCAATGGAATGCCAGATCCTTGAGGGCAGAATCTGTTTTTATTTTTGTCTTTGCATGTTTCCATGTCTAGCTCAATGTTTTCCATATAATAAATATTTAATAAACTCACATTTAATTTAATTGAGTTGAATCTTTTGGCTGTGACATTTCAAAATAAACAAATGGCAATTGGCTCATCTGATTATTTGAACCATGGTATAACTGAGGTTTAAATTAAAACAGTTAAACCCCATAAATGTCAATGGTCCTTCAATCTCCCTGGTCCCAAACCAACAGCTCTTTATAATTGTCTATTGTTAGTAAGAAGGCCTGAGCTTGGTAATATAGATAACCATAACATCTTCATGTGTCACGAATGATGAAATGAAGCCCATACTAGTTCTGTTATCATTGGCCCCATGACTGTTTCTTACTCATCTAATTCTTTCATGCTAACAGTTAATAATCATACTCTGGAGTTTAAAAATCTTCTTTTGTGCACCCACTAGGAAAACTACAAGCTAACTAAAACACAATCTGTTTTCTATCTATGAAAACATTCCAGTTTGCTCTTTAAATTGTTTGCAGAATACTGGTATCTTGCTCAATATGTGAGCAACTCTTTCACACTAGGTCTTAAAAAGAATAACCTTATGGAGAAGAGAGTCAACTTGAAATAGACTTATGTGTTTCTCATGAGATGTCTCCATGTGTTAAAATGACTAATATAACTTATCCATTGCTCTTTTTCAATTTTCAAAATTCTCTTTTCCCTTATGCATTTTCTTGGTTATCTCCTCTACTTAATCTTTTATATATACACATATATATATGTATATATATATAATATACACACATATATACATATATTATATATATATATATACATATACATATATATAGATATAGATATAAAACCCACATATACAGGAAACAAAACATATTTACACCAAACATATTGAAAGCAAAAGTTAGTTTTAGTACCATTAGACTTGAAAAATACTTTGGAAATCCACATTTTAAAATTTAAAATTAATTAAACAAACATTACCATTACTTAGGTACCTGATATGTGCTAGCTCACTGTTGTTTAGTCATTTCAGTCCAGTCTGACTCTTCATAACGCCTATTTGGTGTTTTCTTGTCAAAGCTACTGAAATGATTTGCCATTTCCTTCTCCAGCTCATTTTACAGATGAGGAAATTGAGGCAAACAGGGTTAAGTAACTTGCCCAGGGTTGCACAGCTAGTGTCTGAGGTTGGATTTGAACTCAGGTCTTTCTTAGTCCATGCCCAGCATGCTATCCACTGTGCTACCTAGCTGCCCTTCAGAGGCTTTCTAAATTGAACATACACTGGCATGCTGGATCCATGTTTTTACCCATTCAGGTAGACTAGTGCTTGATTGGTTCAATTCAAACAACTGGTATTTATAATGAGGAAAACCAAAATGAAGACC